GAGAGGGAAGGAGAGAGAGAGAGAGAGAGAGAGAGAGAGAGAGAGTCTGAGGGCAAATGCCCGAGCCTGTTCTCTCCTTCCACTACATGGGTCCCGGGGATAGGACTCAGGCCATCAGAGCCGTTACCAGCTGACCCATCTCACCAGCCTCTGTGGGTTCTTTAGGAAATTAATTATTTGGATTTTGCTTGTTTTATTTTCCTGTTGGAGTACAACTCAGTGTCAGCGCATTAGGCTAGTGTGTGGGACTCACTGGTGTCTGTTACTTTGGAACACCGTTACAGAAGGGACCCAAGGGCATAAGGCCTTACTTGGGCTCAGGATTGCAGAGGGTTCAGTTCCTGGTGGCTTGGCCTTGTATGCCTGGGTAGAGCATCATGACAGCAGGAATGTGAGGTGGAGCCGAGCCATTCACACCATGGGATCAAGATAGAGAAAAGGGACACAGTAGAGGGCAAGTACAAGATCCAGTTTCAAGGACACACCCCAAGCCTTGCTTCCTCTAATGAAGTCCCGCTTTACTCTTCACCACCTGCCAGCTGTGCATCACTTATTGAATCCATCAAAGGGTTATAATATAAAGGTTAGAAAGGGGTTGGGGACAAGACTCAGAAGAACAATAAAATGAGCATATGTTTTCTTCCCTCCCACATTGGCATGAAAGCTTTAGGTTACATGCTATAAGTAGTTACTGTGATGTGTTCATATTGCTTTTGCTTAGTTATGTGTATGTTGCCAGGTGTCTTTTGAAGGTGTCACTCCATGTGGCCTCTTGATATTTGGTTTGATGTTTATTATTGTCTAGTTAACTGGTTGTCGGCCTCTCTGCCACTAACGTGGATCAGAAAGAAGAAGTCATATATTTTATATGATTCCTTTGAATTAGTTCCTTAAAGTTTTTTTAAAGATCGTGTGTGTGTGTGTGTGTGTGTGTGTGTGTGTGTGTGTGTCCGTGAGCATGCATGAGCCATGGAATGAGTGTGAAAGTCAGAGGACAGCTTGTGAGAGTTGGTTCTCTCCTTCTATTTTGTGGGTTCATCAGACTTGGTGGCAAGCACCTCTGTGAGCCAGCCCCAGAATTAATCCTTACATAAAATAAGTTTTGATTATAGTATCAATCCAGAGTTGGGGAAGTTGCCTCAGGTGGGACCCAGGCAGATCTTTCTAGTTTAAGTGCTGTGGGTCAAGCTGGGCAGAGAGACTCAGTGTTAGGTTTTCTGAGCAGGAGACAGCCCAGGAAAGCAGGTTGATGTACCCAAGTGGGGCACCACCAGGGATGCAGATGATACAGATAGATTGGTTTGGAACCTACAGAGCTTCCTGGCTTTGGGGAGTCCCAGACACCTGGATATGGAGACATGGCATTTTTCTCCCACTCCTACTTAACCATTTGACTGTAAGATTCCTCCTAGCCTGAACTTCTAAACATCCACCCCTGCCACCCAGCCTTAGATTATTTGGGTTCTTCAATACTTCTTAGTGCCCTGTTCCTCCAAGCTTAGGGTATCCATCTAGGACTGTCAGAGTTCAGGCCCATCTCACCCCAAATCCTAGCCTCCTGTTTGATAGGCTCTTAGGATATGGATGGAGAAGTATTGCACCATGTACCTTGGAGCCCCTGTGTTAGAGGCAGGAGAAGGTGCCTTGTCTGAAGAATTAAGAAGTATAGCTTCTTGGGCCCATCTGAGAGACAAAGAACCCTTAATCTCACTCTTCAGTGGAACCAGGGACCAGCATGCTTCACAAGTATTGTAGGGAGTTGCCAAGCACACCAGAGTAGGAAGCATCCTATGCCTGGGATGAGAGAAGTCTTTCTTTTGGGGGGGTTGTTAAGTCAAGTACTTGGCCCTCACTAAACAAATGCTCTACCACTGAGCTGTACCCCATCCCTTTTTATAGCCGTTTAATGGGAAGAGAAGGAGACTGAGGCACAGGAGAAGCGGCTGCTTGAGGTTGCAAATGGCCCCTGAGACAGGTCCATTTTCTTTCTCACCCAAGCCCACCCATCCTCCCTTTCTAGTAAGAGGGTTGGACAAGACAGGAACGCTCCACTCCACTGACCAAGAACTGCATTAGAGGTCGGTTCACTGCCCCAAGCCCTAACACAGTCATGCCAGTGGTGGTGTGGGGTAGTGATGGTCCAATCCACCTCACTTATTCCCCCTAGATCAGTGGTTCTCAACCTTCTTAATGCTGAGACCCTTTCATACAGTTCCTCATGTTATGGTAACCCCCAACCATAAAATTATTACCATTGCTACTTCATAACTGTAATTTTGCTACTGTTGTGAATTGGGATGTAAATATCTGATGTGCAGATTGAGAACTGCTGCCCTATACGATCTTGTTCAGGGCATCTTCTTCCACATTCCAAGATAAACTGACACATGTTGCTCACCCTGTTGTTAGTTTTTTGAGTATACATCCCAGAAAGAAATACGCTACAACACCCGCCAGCCTGAGGCCTGCGTAGCTGTGGAGGAAGGAAAGGATGTCCTTGTTATGCATCTCTGCAGAGACACCGTCCCGGAGAATCAGGAGTTCATCCTGCACGAGGTCAGTGAATGTGCAGCTCTCTGCCATCCGCCCAGGTCTGGAAGCCAGGCATCCTCTCTAGCCTGGTCCCAGTGGGTCTCAGACACTGGAAACTTCACTGACACTGAGAGGTGACTGTAGGGTCAGAGTCTATGGCTTCTGGTGACAGTGGGACTTTCTTCTATTTCAGTCTTTTACACCATAAGCTACTGCAGGCTGTAATAGGAAGAAGAGTTGTCACAAATGTATGGAAGTTAGATGGAGTTGTTAATACAAGTGTCATAATGGTCTAAGTGCAGAGACAGGAGCTGAGATCCAAGCTTGAATCACTCTGCTCCCCTGAGCCTCATGTCACCCTTGCTCTGAAATGGGCTTGTTAATATCAGCCCTGTCCTGCTCCAGCAAGGACTCAGTGGGTTCCCAGGACTTCCTGTGGAAACTAATGCCCTATAGAGACTCATGGATATCACCAAGCAGACACTCAGAGATGGACCTGACTTTCTAGATACTGCTGATTGAAAGTTTGGTGTCATTGCACACCTAGAAGGCACAGGCCCCTAGCCCACTTGCAGCAGGCCCGTGGCAAGATTTTACAATATACTGGAGGAAATAAGTCCAAATTAAAATGAGTTCTCTTTCAGTATCTGTTCCCAGCTGGCCTCAGGGATGGACAGAGATTGCTCTGCAATGGGTAAATCCAAATTCCCATTGGAAATTGAAATATGTCCTAATAAGTAGTGGAGTTTGCAGGCTCAAGCTTAGCCCAGTAGTGTTGCCTGTTTGACAGAAGAAAAGAAGATCTGGACATGGTAGCACACTCCTATGATTCCCGTACTCAGTGAATCCCTGTCTTAAAGTAAAATAAAATAAATTAGGAGGACTAATCTGCACACCGCACAATCTGTTGTCCTCTTCCCTTTGCATTTGTCTTCCATATGTAAGCCATGTCAAACCTCAGAGACCAAAATTACAATGTGGAAACAAGATTGGTTTTGCACCGAATTAAGAATTTCATTGTGGGGCTGGAGAGATGGCTCAGTGAATAAAGCACATGCTACATGAGAGAAAGGACAGGGGTTCCGCTTTCCAGCACCTACATAAAGACCAAACAGGTGTGACAGCCACCAGGGAGGCAGCATTTGGGAGTCAGAGATAGGGGCGCCCCATAGCAAGATGGGCAGCTAAATTGGTGAGCTTGAGATTCAGGAGAGACCCTGTCTCAAGCAAAGACAGTAGAGAGGTGACACCATGTCTTCTTCTGGTCTCTACATGTACATATGCCTGTGTGCACACATATGTACACATGAATGTGCGTGTGTGCGCGCGCGCGCGCGCGCGCGCACACACGCACATTCATGTGTACATATGTGTGCACACAGGCATATGTACATGTAGAGACCAGAAGAAGACATGGTGTCACCTCTCTACTGTCTTTGCTTGAGACAGGGTCTCTCCTGAATCTCAAGCTCACCAATTTAGCTGCCCATCTTGCTATGGGGCGCCCCAAATTCAGTGACCACTTTAGAGGAAGTAAGTTTGTGTAGAAGGCTGGGCAGAGAGATACTGTAGTATACTTTTGGCTTCCTCAGAAGGCAGCTTGGGGGCAGGTGGAGTCTGGAAGGGTTGGGGTTAGTAGCATCTAGCTGTTTACAAGACTTTCCCTCAGAACTGGGAGATCACACATTCTGACTGTTTGGACCTTTTACAGCTTATACCACAGATAGAGGGAGGGACAAGATACACAGCACAGAGAGGCTCCCCATGCCATAGGCAAGGTGGGGAGAGAGAAGCAGGGCCACCACAGCCTGTGAGACTGAAACTAGTAGAGAACCCACTGCTTCTCACCCAGGCTGGGAACAGGTAACCAGGGGACTCAGGTCCTTCTCCTAGCTGCAGCCAAGTTAGGAGTGTGGTGAGGTCTCCTGACTCTGTTAAAATGCTCAGGAAAAGGAAGTCATCAGGGATGGAGTTAGGTAATGAAGAGACATGTGGGAGGTAAGTAGAGGATCTTGGTTGTGGTTTCACTGGAGAAAGGAGTAGGGACAAGCTAGAGGCCCAGAGCCATCCTCTTGAATAGCCAGCAGGTGGCGCTGTTTTGCATAGCTGACCCATTTCAGAAACGCTAAAGATCACTCCCTGGGCTCTTCAAAATCTGCCTTACAGGAAATAAGGCTTTTCTGGGGAGTCACTAAAAATTGTCTTGAACATTCAACATCTGTTATCCTTTGTAGGACGGCACTTTAGTTCACAAGCAGACCAGGAAATGCGTCAGAGCCACAAAGAAGGAGTATGGCCATGGCTTTGCACCACTCTTACGGGACTGCTCCAACTCAGATGATGAGAGATGGTTCTTCAAAGAACACTTGTCATAGTGCATCACCTTGTCAAGGAAGGAACCCATCTTGGCAAGGACTCTGTGCCCAATGAGATGGAGGAAGTACATGGTTGCCATTTGTGAATGGGTTGGATTTTACACAGATGTGAATAAGCCTTGTACAGATTTTGAAGATTTTGAAAACTTTAAGAGTGTCTCTCAGAAATCTTAAGACATTACTTTTGGTATTTGGAAAGGTTAATTAGGGTTTTTTCTATCAAGATGTGCATTTCACAGTGGTGCCTTTTATTTTCACTAGCAAAAAAGTAAATATTTTATTTTGGTACTTACAAAGATCCCAGGTATTTGCAGTGTACTTTGCACAAACTGATAATACCTCAAATGTTAGAGTTAGAGTTTTCTCAGTGGCGAGAGATAGACACTAGAAGCATCGTGTTGATTTCTTCAGGTGTGAGTTAGATGAGATGATCTAGATTTATATAATAAAGAATGCTTTTTGCTTAAATGTTGATATACAGTCAAAACTCTATCATAATGTTCATATTGACCAAAACACACTAACCAAATCTGAAATTTCAAAGAAACAATATGGTTTGCCAAGATAATCCAAATTTAAGAGTGTATTTCCAACAATGCCTAGTGGGAGGGTGGCCAGTGGCTTTTAGTAGTACTTAGCCACTGTGACTTTAAGACATGTTTGCATACCTTATAATTCTTATCACAAGATAGTCCGAGGGAGAAATGCAATTACATGGAACTCAATTTTCAAGTTGGTTCTTAAATAGTGTGGATGTTACTCAATAATTCAGATGTTTGAGTGGTTCTAGATCAGTTCCCAGAACTAACCAACTTGTTAAAACCAATAGGGATGATTAAAAATACCGTCAGTGAAGTAGGGGTGTAGATCAGTTGGCAGAGTGCCTGCGTAACATGCATGAGACCCTGGGTTCAATCCCCAGCATCTCACTTTTAAAAATAGGCTTGATGGCATACCCCTAATCCCAGTGCTTAGGAGGTGGAGGCAGAAGGATCAGGATCATCACGGGCTACACAAAGAGTTTGAATTCAGCCTGGGCTACAGGAGACACAGTCTCAAGAAAACATCAGTGACTGTGGATCTTGTTTCTGTCCCAGTCAATTGTGAAAACACACATGATGCATTAAAAAGTGTTACCTCACATCTCCATCTCTTCTCTCAAGCATTCTACCCTGAGGAGATCTTTCTTGTATGATGCTAACAGCTCCCCAGAAACAGATCTACTTTGCCTGAGTCCACCTGATGCACCGTAACTTCCCTGTACTTCTGGTTCTTGTGAGTGAGATGGAGAGATCAGGAAACTGAGTTTGGGGGCAGGAGCAGATGTGGGCTTAGCCTAGTTTGGGGCATGTGGGAGCGGCTCTGAGATGTTAGCTGTGATTCCTTCCCTGCCTTTTTTCTTTTTCGTTTTTTGCATGTGTATGTAGTGTGTGTAATATGCATGTTAACATATCTGTGGCACATGTGTGTGGAGGTCAGTTTGACTTAAGGTATCTTCCTTGATCATTGTCTGCAGACCACCATGTTGGCCAGGCCTTCCTGTGATACTGGGGATCCATCATCTGATCCTCACTCTTTGAAGTCAAGCACCTTGTCCATTGAACCATCCTATCGCTTTAGAGTCTCATAAACTTCCTGTGTAAAATGCAAAGCACAGTGCATGTCAGCAGAAAATATGTCAGAAGCAAATATGAAATAATGCAGGTCTCTTCAAGGATTAGGCAGCTCTTGAGCAGGCACAGGGTGGGGCAGCTCCTACATTGCTTAGTTCTCAGGCTAAGGGCCGAGTGGGCTTGGCCTTCCCCTGGTCCTGCTGTGGAGACTTGTAGGTCAGGGGAGGGACCACTCTTCTGTTTCCCCATGCCTTCTGTACTGTAGGGTCAGACGGCCTGATGTAGGGGGAGCCCCTCCCCAAACACAGGAAAACAGCCTGGGTGGGCCAGACATGAAGCTGATGAGGCTAAGGTCCCCAATTGCACCCGGAGTGTGGGAGGCTGCACCTGTGTCTGTGCAGCATAGGCACGGCAGCCATCTGGCTCGGCTTGAGGAATCAACTCGCTTAATCCTTCCACCAGGAGCAGTGAACTTTCATGCGTGGGAAGATCAGGAAAATAATCTCCTCTTATTTTTGGGCACATTTGAGGAGGCTTTCCCTCCTGTGTAGGTGAAGAGTCTAAAAAAGGCCATATAAATGCGAGGAGGCCCCAGCTGTCTTGCCTTGGGTTCCCCTGTCTCCACCCAACCCCAGGAAGGTGTGGATGCAGTGCCGGTGTGCAGAGTTTGCCTTGGGTCCTAGGATTCCATTCTATTTTCCTCTTTGGAGCTCTCAGGATAGTGTCTCCCCTAGGACTGGCCTTGCTGGGGATCTGGGTGTTTGATGGGGGGTGGTTACAGTTGTTTTTGCATGGGTGACTTCTATATCTTAGAGGGCAGTCTGATGCCCAAGTGAGAAAGTGTTCCTTTCAGAGAATTTGTTTATACTAACAGGTGGTTGTGGCGCGTTTTCCCTCAGGTCTAATATAACCTACCAAGACTGCCATTCTCTGGGAAAGCCCTAACCTTGAAAGAAACAAGTGAGTGTTACGAGTGTCAACCAGCATGCTGTATGTTGGAAAGGAAAGTCACACGCAGCATTGCATTACAGATCTGGAGGTGTGAAACAGGAGGAACAGGACCGATAGGATGAATGTATACATAGAGAGAAAGGGGATTTGTTAGAGATGCTTACAGACCGTGGTCCCGCTAGTCCAACAGTAGATGTCTACAATTAGAAGGTCCAAGAATCCAGTAAGTATTCAGTCTATAAGGTTGGATGTCTCAGCTGGTCTTCAGTACACACTGGGATCCCAAAGAAGTAGGCTCTCCTGCCAGTGAAGGAATAGGCTTGCCAGCAAGATTGAGAGCAAGCAAGCAAAGAAATCAAGCTTTCTTCTTCCATGTCCTTTATACAGGCTGCCAGCAGAAGTGGTGGCCCAGATTAAGAATGAATCTTCGAGCCTCAGAAGATCTGAATTAGAAGTGGGTTTTACCACTTCAGATGATTTAATTAAGAAAAAAAACTTTCAGGTGTGCCCAGCCACTTGAGTTTTAGTTAATTTTAGATGTAGTCAAGTTCACAGTCAAGCATAGTAGTCACAGGCCTCATGAGGCCAGCAGGAAGAGCAAGCTGTGGGGTCATGCACAGTCAACTAGGGAGTGGAAAGGAAGGGTGGCGTGGGGGGGGCACTGGTGACCAAAGCCCTTACTGGGATTCAGGGTGTTATCTCTCCCTTTTCCCCACAGGGTTAGAACAGGTGTATTCTGAGTTGAGGCACTTGTGTAAAGTCACAGTGAGACAGGCAGTTATCATAGTAGATCTGCAGTCTACACAGGATGTGGGGATCAGTGGGGTGAGTCTCAAAGGAGAGTGGATCTGGGGGGTGGGTGTATATTTCAGACAGAGGAACTGTTAAGGGGGGAGAGAACTCCATCTCTACTATGAGCAAGTTAACCCTATACTCACTGGAGGCTGAGACAATGTGCATGTATTATCGCCTAACTTAGATAATGGGTCTCATAAAGTAAGAATCCACTACAGGTTCATTGCCCATCTACATGATGGTGGCATAAGTGTGTCTTCTAGTGATAATCTCTCTCTCTCTCTCTCTCTCTCTCTCTCTCTCTCTCTCACACACACACACACACACACCACACACACACACACAGAGAGCTTTGAGCAAACCCACTGCCTTGTGCACTCTAGGCAAGTGCTCTACCACCAAGCCCCAGCCCTCTTAGCTATAGTCTTTAGTTACTTGTTGAGCACATGTCTTAGAAATCACAATATGCTTCTTAAATTTTTCACAGTCTTCAGCTTATTATTGATTTAATTTTCGTAAAAGTTAGCTGGATCAATCCATTTCTCCCCTCTTTTCTGTTATGGACATGGTATGTCTTTGTAAACCCAACAGTAGAATGAATGGCACAATTATTGCTTTAATAAAAGAAGAGTATATACACACAGTCCTTTAGTTTCCGGGCATATTACCAGTTCTCATATTCTTTGCTTTCTGAGGCTCCAGGTATTGTTTGCTTGTATTGTAAGGACATTGGTGCTTCTAGGGGTAGGTATATGCATTTGTAGCAGACTCTTTTTGCATCTTTGGGAATGCTTTTATCCTACCTTCCCTGTTTGTGAGATAGTTTAGCTGGGTATAGGATCATCCTTGGAAGGTCCTAGTTTGTTCTTGGACTGAGGTAACTACAGCAGTCAGTTTTGTGGAGCTTTCTACTGTGACGAGGATGCCTTTCCTCCAGTTTCTACTACACAGCCCTCACTTCCTTCTGTACCTATACTGCCGGCAGCTCCAACAGCCATGTCTTTACCAAAGGTCTATTTAAGGAACCACAAGCCTTCTCTGTCAGGCTTCTCAAAATCTGCCCCACCCTGCCATGCTGCAGGTCTATGTTATAGCAGTGGCTCCCTTCCAGATGTCGGTTGGTATTTCCTCTTGCAGCTGACAAGTTAGCAGGTGAAATTGACACTCTCCTACTTTCTCACAGCCCCATGTAGGTCACAGGGCAGGCTGTGCTCAGCTTTACTTGTTTCTCAGCTCTGGGTCTCTGAATGAAATCATGGTGTGGCCTGATGCTGCCTCCTCTGAGACTTGGCTTTTGCCTCCCAGCTTGCTGATAGTAGAAAACAGTGCCTGTGGCTGTGGGACTGAAGCTCTCTGAGGTCACTGCTGAAAACATGCTGCTGGCTTTGAAGAAGGATGCTGCCATGTTGTGGTGTGGTGTGGCTAGGACCCAGGATGGCCACTAGGAGCAAAGTTCAGGCTGAGGGTCTAGGAGCAGAGACCCATCAGTGGTTTTCTTCCATCAATAGGAACATAGACTCTGTATGTACAGTGGGATGGGGGTACCAGGGATGAGTGCCTCTGTTACCCTACTGACCATTCTAGAAGATTCTTTTGAAGGCTGATTAAAACTTCCTAAGGAGTAAAATTTCCTCATATAAA